TAATGGGAAGATAAAGTTGAAGCTTTCTCAAATCTATAAAGCTAAAGGATTGTTAGAGGCATTTGTAGATGTTTTTTTTCCTGTGGTTCGCGAGACATTGTTTCTTGAGACTATACAACAAAAGGTCAGGCCAAGGAAGAAGCTATCAAAAAGTGTTCTTTCTGAACGGATAAAAATACTTGATCATGTTAGGACTGATACTGTGTTTCATGGATTTAGACCTGTAGCTTCAGCATCAGATCTGTCTAGAGCGTCCAGAGCAAAAAAGTTACTAAAAAAGAAGGAAGCAAAAAGAGCTGCTGCTCTGGCTGCTGGAATTGAGTGGATAAGTGATGATTCAGAGGATGAATCTCCCCAACAAGCGCCAAGAGAGCTTCCTCTTCCAAACCTTATAAGAGATGCAGAACATCATCATCTCATTATAGAATTATGCAAATCACTAGCATCCTTGAAAAAGTATTGGGAAGCATTGAAAATCATCAATTTAACTCTGAAATTGGCCTCCAATGTTTTGTCTGTTGAAAGGAACGAAGAGCTTAGAACTCTGGGAGCCCAAATAGCATACACTATTGCTGATCCTGCTCACGGCTTTGAATATGCACGCTATATTGTTGATCAACGTCCTTATAGCTTTTCTGCATGGAACTGCTATTACAAAGTAATGTCAAAACTGGACAGTCGATATTCAAAGCATAACAAGTTTTTGCACACCATGCGAACCAAGCACAAAAGTTGTGTACCACTCACTCTCATTTTCGGGCACCAGTTTACCATGATCAGCCAGCATCAAGCAGCTGTTCGGGAATATTTGGAAGCTTACAAGCTGATGCCAGATATTCCCTTGGTCAATCTTTGTGCTGGAACTGCATTGATAAACTTGGCCCTAGGTCACAGACTTCAAAACAAACATCAGTCTGTGGCCCAAGGATTGGCATTTCTTTACAATAATTTACAGCTTTGCAGATATAGTCAGGAAGCACTGTATAATATAGCTCGAGCATATCATCATGTCGGTCTTGTTTCTCTTGCTGCTTTAAACTATGAAAAGGTTCTTACAATGCATGAAAGTGATTGCCCCATGCCAAACCTTCCAAATGAGAAACCAGATGGTCTGGCTTCTCCAAAGTCAGGCTACTGTGATCTTCGTCGGGAAGCAGCTTACAACTTGCATCTGATCTACAAGAAAAGTGGAGCAATTGATCTTGCCAGGCAAATCTTGAAAGATCATTGTGTCATATGACTGAATAAAGTATTCCCTGTAATGCAATTTCTTGTTTATGGAAATGCCACATTTGATATGTCTTGCTTTGATTAGCAACACAGACATTTAACCTTAGAAATGGTAATTGTCTGTGTTTGCAAAGTATGTCTTTTGTTGTCCAAGTGCAGAGAAACACTGAATTCTTGAATCTTGGCAGGAAAGTAAAACGCTTATAGGTAATTTCAGTTAGTTCTTTGGCTACTTGCAACACAAATAAGCGGCTGAAAATCTAAACCTTGCAATTGCAAACTCCCTTCAGCATCTACTTCTAAAATTTTGAATCTTTTTGATTCAAAAAATTTGGACGGCGAAGATTGCTTTTGATTGAGATGTTCAGGCTGATCAGACAGTGATAAGCTATAGACCTGGAGGTGGAAGCTGAGGTGGCAGCAGTCTGATTGGTCCTCATTTTGAACCCTCTTCAATCAATAACAACGATGCCAGTTCTTCTAATCTCCTTTTTTCCAGCCTCATGGCAGCGCCCGCTCCACTCTCCTCGTTCATGTCTAATTGTCATCTGTTTAAAAATTACATATCAGGTCTTGGGTTTTGTGGTTTCTGTCCATGTTTACCTCAATTATCTAGCTGTTCATTGCTTCAAGATTGGATTTTTGGTATGTAAAAGTACTGGTTTTTTCGTTTGTTTTTTCTGGGCTTATCGAGTTTTAGTTAGTATGTTAAATTTTTGATGAATTTATGCCTAGTTCTTAGATAATTTGGTGAACAGATTAGAAAATTTTGGGATTTTTATGGTTTGGTGTGTAAGTGAAGCTGTTTGGTGCTGATTCTGTATTTCGTTTTGTAGATTTTAGTTTAGTTTTGGGTTTAGTGCTAATTTTTTGGTTTTGCATTTTTAAGAAAAAGTTTTGCAGCTGATTATGGAAGTTTGAGTCTTGTTCTTGCTGGTTTTGATTGTTAAATTTTTGAATTTTGAGGTTTGGGGGACTTACTAGTGCAGGAAACATGGTAGCAGTTGTGTTATTGGAAATTAACATGGCCAGTTGTACGTGTGAAAAAATGTATAATCACATAGATATGTGCACAATGTATTTGTGGAAATTTGTTTTCTGCTTAATGTTTGGCAGGATATTTGTTTTTAAGAATGTCATTTTTCATTTTCTGCATTATGTTAGGCAAGGTATTTTTTTCCAAGGATGTTGTTTTGTGCATTATGTTCGGCAAGGAATTTGTTTTCCAAGAAGCATGTGTTTTCGCCTCTGTATCAAGTAAAACAGATAATGTGGTTGGATCATGGAAATCTTGTTCATTTATGTGTATGGAACCTTTCTTTTAGCACAGTTGAAGATGTGTTTATACGTAAATGACAGTTCTAAGGTGATTAAAAATTCTTGATTTTTGCAGCAGCACTGGGATGCAAGCCATTTATGTAGCTTATTGGCTTCTCTTCTTGCTTGAGAATAGTCTTGATTTGAGAAAGATGATATTGATTCCTTGATGAAGCTGATATTAATGTGCTTAGCTGGAGTTTTACGGGCCAAAATTTAATTGTTGAGTTCTCAACTTATTTTTTTCATTCCTCAAAATCAGTGTTTTCTCCTCAGACAATTTGGTTTGGGTACTCGATTCTTTTCTGAAAACATTCTTGGGGTGCTAATTATGGTATGCCCCTCTGTAATTCCTCTGCTTTCTTTGCTGAATAAAACCACACAGCTTTTGTTTCTCAACAGCGTGTATTGCTATTGATATATCATTGTATGTAGTTACCCTTGCCGAGCCTGTGAGGGAACTGATTAAAATGTTCCTAATTCTTGGTAGTGCATTTAAGATGTGTATCTGCTGTAAATATGGAGATAACATGAGTAGGCTTCCGGTGGGTGTTTAACGAGTATCTTGTAGCCCATAAATTGCCCTACATACATGAAAGCTCCAGTAGATTGTTTTAAGGAGTAAAAAATGATGCTCCTTTTGAGGCCTGGCCTCCTCAAAATTGTGGTTTTCGTTTTCCTTATAATGATGAATATTGAGATCGCCGTGCTGTCTATCTAATCGCCACCTGCCACTCTGTATGCACTTGATTTCGTTACGACTTGGTGGTGAACAGCTGTGATCTCACTTTTTTACTTTTGCATCCAAGGATAGTTTGCAAAGGACTCTGCATGCATTTGAATTATTTTCTATTTTAAAATGGGGCAGTTGCATGGAACTTCTGCACCATTGGTTGAATATATAATGATATGTGATGTTTATTTTTTTCCGGTCGAAATGTTAAACCAACTTAATGCCCTAGTTTTTAGGTTGTAATGGACTTAGCAACCATTTTGTTAATTGCATAATCATGTAATACTCAATACTCAATCGTCACCCTTGTTTGTTAGGTCCATATTCTTACTTGTTCCATTGGGCTATTTTTGCTCTAGCTGATTTTTCCAATCTGTTCTTAATTTTCTATTGTATACTGGAGACACTCTCTTTGGGGTAGGGAACATATTCAATATACCAGGGACCAGCTGCTGCAGTTGGGAGAAGTATTCTTACCACATTGTTCCTTTGTTTTATTCTCAGTAATAAATATTCGGTTGGAGTTTGAAATATTTCAAAGTGTTGACAATGGCGAAATAGGTTTTACATTAAATACATCTTGTGTATTTAAGATGAGTATTGATCATTTGTCCCAGTATCAATCTTGATACTTGTGAAAATTGTATGATACAACTCAGTCACTTTCAGGTGAAGTGGTATACAATTTATGTCGTCTGTTGTACACTTGAATAGGATTGGATTTTTTATTTTAGCTAGATTAGATAGTAACTATTCTGTTCATGGTAGGAAGAAGCATAGTTCAGAAATTTGTTCTTTTATTTATCTGGCAGATTATCTACCAGACTAGCATATCTGTTGTTTACTTGATTGTGATTCACGGTTAAGAATCAAGACTCTTTTCTTTTGCTATTGAACTTCTTCATGTGGACTGTCTCGGACTGTGAAAATGTGTGTAGTTAGCCACCAGAAAAGGATGATTTTTGAAACTTCTGTTAAAGCTTTGAATGTATCTGATTGGGCTGTTTATCTTGGGGGTGGTCAGCATTGCAGAAAACATTCTGAAAGTCAAAAGAGAAGTTGCAGCTGAATTTTTTGGTGAAGATCCAAGCTGGAGTCACGTGGGAATCCTCTTGTCCTGTTATTGCCCTGGTTCTTTTTATAAACTCTTGTAGCTGTATTTTTGTTAGAAGTTCTTGTCATCTCTTAAGCTATCTCTCTTTGGAGCAGAAAGCATTAACAGAAGCCAACGATGCAAAAGTTGAAGATAATACATTGTTTAAAGATGGTCAAGATGAAGAGGCATTGTCTAAGTATGATATTGCTTTACCAGCTGTGTCCAGTATATCCAAATCTGTTGAATTACGGTCAGTATGCCATACAAATCATGCTGCATGTTAAATAAACTGGTAAGCTTTCATCTTGCTGAGTTGATACATGGCAAAATTGTACTTTTTGCATGTATTTCTTGAAAAGTTGCTCTTTAACTTTCTCTATATCTATGAGTTGGAATGCAGTTTTGAATGTTGTAATTGATTAGTATGGGTTGATCTTGGGTATCATTTGGCTGAGTAGTAAAACATAAAGATTGTGTTATAAAAAACTCTCTCTGCGAGAGCATTTGATGGAACTTGAGGCAAATTCTAAAAATAATATTGTAATAAAACATGTACATAGTTCATGTCTGAAACAAAGACTTTTTTTTTTTTTTTTGTTAAAGAGACAAGTGGATATTATTGCAACTGCATTGTTGTGAAAATTGTGAATGTTTAATTTAGTCTTTTTACATGATTATAGGTTTCCTTGAAGTTTCTTGACTGGTGACATTGTTATCTAGATATGGTCACATGAAGGCTGAATTTGAGTTATTATAAAGAAGATATATTGGCTCTGATAGTGATAAACGGCTAATACTCATTTTGTCTACACCTCTTCTTGCCAGATCTAAATAGACCTCGCTTTTATTATTGTTCCAATTACATTGGACAGCTGATAGATTTGAATCTTGACGAGTAGGAAAGTTGGCCATGGCAACGTGCTATGCCTTAATCTGTATGTAATCTCCTTAATGTGTCAATGGTGAACATGGAAGAAAGTCTGTTAGCTATGTCCAAATAAGGTTCCTCGAAGATCTGTTTTCATCAATCTGAGCTGTATCCCTTTCAATTTGATTTGAACTATCAAATTTGGATATCAATTCTCTTCAGCTCATAGGGGCAGACAAGATGTGCTTATCCTTAATCTTTGGAGAAGCGAAGGTACTTATCTTAGTATTTAGAATTTTTCCTAAAACTATAATTTGTTGTCCATTAACAAGATGTACTTATCCTTTATCTTTGGAGAAGAGAAGGTACTTATCTTAGTATTTAGAATTTTTCCTAAAGCTATAATTTGTTGTCCATTAAAGTATTCTTTTCCCATTCTTTTCCCTGTGTTGGAGAGGACCCATACACTTAGCCTCCTCACTAAGCATCTTGGTGGTGGTTGCCGTTACAGCAGCCTCCATTATCTGTTGCTAATACCTGTTGGCTGATTGGCAAATAACTCCTAATGTGATATCATTATTTATATGCATTGTTATACATATGTCATGCATTGGTAAGTTTTTGACTGGATTTTGATGAAGTTCTTTTTGGTGGTTTGTTTTACAGAAAAAAAATATGATGATGGTATTAAAGAATGCACAAAAGCATTGGAGCTAAACCTTAACTACATAAGTGTTTTGCTAAGAAGAGCAGAGGTGTATGAAAAGTTGTAACAATTTGAAGAGACTATAGCAGGTATGTCGGTGTAAGAATTTGAATATTTTACTGTCATTGAGCAGCTGCTGGCAACTTCTAGCACAAACTTGTGCTTATAAGAAGACTAATCTATGATTTGTGGTGGCTTTATTATATGTGTAATGGCTGCAATCTTGCTTGTTCTCTCTCTCTCTCTCTCTCTCTCTCTCTCTGTCTCTCTCTCTTTCTCACACACACAAAAGCACACACACACGCAAAGCCAATGGCATTCATTAATCTTCTCATATAGTCCATATGGCTTTTCACAATTTATTGTTTCCTATGCTGGTGTTCATTACAATATGCAGATATGACAAAGGTTTTGGAAGTTGACCCATCATATGATCAAGCTAGAAGACAGATTGTTCGCTTGAAGCCATTAGCAGATGAAAAACGTCAAAAGATGAAGGAAGAAATGATTGTTGACCATTGGTGGTATGAACTTCTTTGGGTAGTTGCTGTTAAATGATTCTTTTTTGCTCTTCACGTGTAAATATAGGAATGCTTCATTTTTGCAAAAGAAAATGTGTTCTAGGGGAGAAGAGTGGAGGAGGAGGAGAGGATCTGGAATTTTTGCAAAAGTAAAAGGAGCTAGTGTGAGCTGAGGTGGCTAGTGCATTCGGAAGATTCTGGAGGAAGGGGAAGGTTAATGTGAGCAGATAAAGCTTTGCTTCAGGTGCTGCTAAAGAATAGATGCTTGTGGAAGTGGACAAACGATTACTGAGATTAGCACAAGGATGGTTTAAGGGAAATGTAAGCACTTCCATATATGTGAACTAGAGTGAAGGTATTTCTTATGGTATGTGTTACTGTGCTTGTGCAATTGAGCGTGCTTTTGTCTGCTTTTCCTTCATAACATTTAGTGCCTGAACAAATTGCATTTAGTTAAGCTGAGGTAGTTCAAGAATGAACTACATTTGTTTCTGTCATCATATCCTGTGATGCGTGTTGAAGTGATGGACTCATTTTGTAGTGAAGTATTTGCAAATTATTAATAGCCTGGCAGTGCTTGAAGTTGTAGAGGGCGAATTTGTTCAAGCTGTTCATGGTTTATCTTTGCTGCATTTGGAGATCATGATTAAATGAGAATAGATTCTTGTACTTTCCTGAACCCAAGGTGTAGATTTTGGAAACCATACTATGCTGATAGAACAACTCCAATCCTTTTGTTTATGTTTTTATTGAACTTCTGATCTTGGTTTGTCTGCATATTTTCAACACGCCTTGTGCAGTTGAGTCACTTTTTCTGAGTTCATTGGCAGCCAACATTATTGTTTGTGACTTTATTCTTACATTCTATGGGTTATATCTGCTTCTCCTATTCCTTTTTCCCTATTTGGCACCTCAAGCAAGGAGAGTTCATTTTGTTGAACCCTGGACAATTGCAGCAAAATCTGCTTAACTTTGTCTGCTTTACTTGGATACGGTTGATGGTGAAAGTATTTTAGGGTATCAATTATTTCCAGTTTATATGTGTGTTCAATTGCATATGATGATATCTCTCACGAAGTTGAATTGTTTACCTTTTGATCAGGTAAGCTGAGGGAAATTGGAAATTGCAATTCTGGTCAATTTGGAATGAGCGCTGACAATTTCAAAGCTGTGAAAGATCCAAACACTGGTTCATATTCTATTCCATTTCAGTGCTAATATCTTTTACAAACTTCACATATATTCTTTAGTTTCTGGAGCTATGGATCAAATGGACTGAAATCTTAAAGAGGATGAAGCACGTTTCCTCACAGTGTTGATCTCAGTCGTATGATTATGTTTTTACATATAACTTGAGAAAAAGAAATTGATGTGGTTTTTTGCCATAATATGTTATAAACAGACTTAAAGTTTCACTTTACTGGAAGTTTCTTATAGTTGCTTTAGTACTTTCCATTTCTTCGTGGTGTTGTCCATGGTTTTGATACTGTTTTGGAGGGCATCTGAAGGTGCAGCATAATTTATGCTATCAACGTCTTTGTCATGATCTGTTCGGAGAGTAGCATAGAAATGTAGAACCTTGCACGCAAACAGGGAGAGAGTCCACCTCCTCTTCCCACCCATCCCAAAAAAGGGTAAATTCTGACTAGATATCATATCATAGCCACACTAAAAGTGTGTAAGCTCGGATGAACACTGAAATGGTCTGGTTACTCCGTAATTTTCATGAACTCTGGGGGTGTTTGTTGGTTGCATGATTTTTGGGCGGCTTGGGGATATGTGGGCGCAGACAGCCTCATTGAATCGGGTGCACACTCCTTCCTTTGCCTTCTCTCTCTCTTCCTTGCTCTTAATTTCAATCCTTGCTCTCTTCTAATTACCACTTTCTTTCCTGCTCTTCTAATTACCGGACCAATTTCTCCCCTTCGCTTGCTTACACCTTGCAGCACAACTCAGGAATCAAGGTAAATCTCTCTCTTCTCCTAGTCACCATCCCTCCTTCCTCCTTCCTCCAGACTCCAGCCCACCACCCTTGCCGCCCCTTGCTATGTTTGTTACCAGCTTTTGTTTCGTGAGATTCGGTTGGACTTGGTTTTTGGAGCTTAATCCCCTCTCATTCCTCTTCCTCTTCTTTGCTTACATAAAATTCTCTCTCTCTCTCTCTACTACAATGAAATCGTTTATGCTTTTTTTTCTTGTGGATTTTATTTCAGTAGGTTTCCATAAATCAATTTGTACTTTTTTCTTTTTTGCCAACAGTTAATTCTTGAAAAATTGAAACTTGCGGAAGAAAGGCAAATGGAAGGAAGGGACTCACTTTGGTATCTCTGAACAGGTTTATATCAATCACTTTGCCTTACAATTGTCCAAGGTTAAAGGAATTTAGTTTCTTATATTGCAGTTACGAGTACAATGATATATGATGACGTAGTTATATATGGGGCTGTTGATAAAACCATAAAAGTGGGTAAGGCAAACTGCAGTTTAAGCCAAACAATTTAACTGCTTTCAAACATTGTATTCGCCTCAATTAATATACTTGATGAGTAGCTTCAAATTTTTTTTTTTTGGGGTCAAACGGCTCTAAGTTGCTTCATTTGTATATTGTATAGGTATTGTATAAAGCTTCAGTGGCTGCTTTGCTTTATTAGGGTCTAAAGTTGAAGTGGATGTTGCATCATGAGTTTAATGGTCCAATTAAATTTCTTAATTTAAGATTAAATCGTTGCTGGATGTTTATATCTTCTACACCCAAAGGCTGCAAATATTTAGTTTTCAAAATTTTCAAACATATACTCTGATGTACTATAAAATTTACGATTGTTAGTACCTGATCATTGTTGATGTATGTGAAGAATATTTTCTTGAAGTTTGAGCATAAAAGTTAATCTTGATTTCTTGGGCTTTTGGTCAATAGAGATTGCACTGACGTGGGCTTGAGTTAAATAGGCATCGATTTCTTTCCTCCACCTGTATCCCACATGCAATTATAAACATCACTTTGAAGGTCTATTTTCGGTTTTCTACTTATGTTCCAGAATTCTGTCCTCTCATTCGCAGCTCTTCTTCTTTCTTTGACTTACCCTTCTTCTCGCCTGCTCTCATATACTTAAAACTCACAGTTCTTTTTTGGTCTTTCAAGTACAAACCAGGCACTTTGCTTCTTAATTCTTTTCATGGACAGATGATTTTCTCATAATTTATTTACATCCCAAGTTAAGTGGTTATTTATTGCAGTGAATTGCCTTTTGTGACAATATTTTTTGGATTCAATCCTTTAATAAATCAGGTGGTTGACTACAAGGTCTCTTTCTGCATGATTAAAATACATACAAATACCAATAAACTCTTGACAATGGAAAGACGTAACTGACGAGAGGTACTGAGGGAGAGGTTGGAAAGAGGAAGCTCTATTGAATATTCCACCCAATTTGTAGATTGTAAGTGCCATGTGGCAGCCCCAGGCTCGAGTTGATTATGTTGGTGTCACTGAACCTCCATGGCCTTCCTCCTTGTGAAGCTAATGCTATTGAATCTTCTCTCTTTTGGTTTTGGTCATTGATTTCAATTTGAACTGTGTTTTTTAGGTAATGTTTTGGTATTTATGCTTTATTTTGTTCAAAATGGAAACTTTGAAATGATCTTTGCTACAACCTAAAATATTTTGGGGTCGGGATTATCCAGGAATTTAACCCTTTTCATATGAGTTCAATTTGAGGGAATTTAACTATACATTCCATGCTTATTGTTCAACCTGCTTTGATGTATACTTCATTTATAATATGGGAGAGCTGCATTACCCAGCTATTCCACTTTGGATTGGGCAAGGATGAATGGACAGTTGATAAAAGCCATTTCTCCACGAGTTATGGAAACATATTGATATGCAGCATTACGGTATCTAGGTACTCCTAAGAACGCTTTTCATGTCCCATATGCAGTTTTGTGCTCTTGATCTCATTTTATTATGGCCCAACCTGCAATTCTATTTTGTTTTAAAATTGAGTCAACATAGTCCAGTTATAGTGTAAATGAGAGCCATTTTGGGGCTGTTTTATTACCATTTCAATGAGATAGTGGAGTTAGTCTTGAGTTGGTAGGAGCTATTGGATATCCTTGCCTTTCAATGTTGGACATTGATTTTGTTTGTTAAGTCCGTTAAAACTTAAAACAGAGCATCAAGCTCTCCTGCTTATAGCAATTCCTTACTTATTTTAGTGCCTCTGTTTTCCATCTTCTACAGCCTTCTATCTTGTTTCTTTGAGGAGACTACCGATGTATTTCTTTCCAAGAAAACATGCAACTCTAAACTCTCTTTCCTGCAGCAAAAGAAAAAGACAACTTAGATATCTAGAGAAAAGATTATTATTGGGAATTGAGAAGTTTACCACCCTCTGCTGCAATCTCCTCTCTGAGATATCGGTGAATATCTACATTCCTCTCTCATCCCTCTTGAATATGCTGGAATATAGCAAACCATTTAGGTTTTTGATCTATTTCAGTCATTGTATTTTCTCTATGTATTCAGTAGCTTCAGTTACTCAGTTAAATCGGCTTTTGGTAATATTCATTTGATTGTGTATTAGGTCCAGTAAAGAATGCTATTGGTGTAAGGATGATTAAATCGAAATCTTTGTGTCGCTTTCATGTTCTTAGTATCATTAGTAATAATTTTTTGTCCTAATAGACTTTACGAATCCTGTTTTTCTCACTCGATTCAGCCATTAATGTCCTTTTGCACTAATTTTGATATTTTAGCTTGAGGTAATTTGTGCATCGCCTTCCTGTTCATTTTAACTTGATTTTGCTTAGTCCTTTAATGAGATAAATATTTCTAGCAACACTGGAGTTAGTCAAGCACGCAAGAAGTTTATGTGAAAAGTAAACTATTGCAACATCTCATTTATTGTTACTTCCTTTTCTTGGATATATTATTTCATGTTACTCTATTGGTTTACTGATTTGAACTTGATATTTAGTTGTAAATCATTTATAGTCTTTCCTTGTGAATCCGCTTTTACTTGATTTCATTTACTAGGAACATTAACTTTGCAAGTATGCAGGATTCATAAGAAGAATTTAGCGTCAATTAGGATTATACTCTGGACTTACTCTTAAGGCTTTTCCGTGTTCTCTGAGTTAGTTTAGAACTTTATTTAGTTTCTAAGGCATGTAATTTTACTTCTATAGAGTAACTTGACATTTGTATTTGTTTTAATGCCACGGATACGTGGGAATATCTTAAGTGGTTTTTGGTGTTTCTGATTTCTTATGTTACTGGCCTGCAACAGTTTGAACTTTTTTTTTTGTTTAAATAAATATTAAATTGCTTATCTTAGTTCTTTGATGTATAGACGAAATTTTAACATTGGATGAGTTTGTGCAAATACTTCTTCATTGAAGCATTGGCTTTTGTTGAGGTTGTTTAAAAAACAAGGCTATCGCACTACCCAAATCTGTCCAATTGGAAGCTCGAATCGGTCAAGTTCTTGGCAGGAAGTAAATTCCCGTTAACTTCACTAAAGTGTATCTCTAGAATTAACTTCAATGTAACAACAGTTAAGGTTTGCTTATGATATTTTGTGCAGCTATGTACATCGTGATTTCGTATTACTAAGTTTGCTTTCCTTTATACTATTTGTTTATCGCAATGAATTTTCCTGCATGCTTGTTGATTAAAATTCTCTGTTTCTGGTAAACAAATGAACCTCCACATGCTTTTCTTGTCCAAATTGAGTACATGATACTAATATTCTGTAATTTACCTTGGCTCCCTTCTGTTTAAGTAGCTGTAATCCATGATGTCATAGCTAATGTGTTGTCCTTTCAATGCTTCCTCCAGCCTAAAACGTTAAGACCTCATGAACACGTGTATAGTTGTCTTCAAAATTGGACAATATATTGGCCATCAGGTCTGGATGGCATTGTACTTAGAATAACATATGACGATGTTATTTGAAGCTTTTGAACCTTTAGTAGTGCTGGGATACCTGTAAAACTCATATCAGGCTGTTTTCAGTTATCTAATCTTGTTAAGGCTATCATATTGTCTAGAAGATTGAGATTTCCATCCAAATGTTAGGATGATTTTGGAAGCAGACGTGATGTTGGAGGTTATATCAAAAAGCTACAAATTTTTGTTAGGATGATTTTCATGATTACATGACCATATAAATGTATTTTCACAAAAATTGATTCCGTCCCTACCCTTGACTTGATCTTTAATTCGTGAAACAGAGTTAAGGCTTCTGGGATCCCTTCTGATGAGAAAGTGAAGTTTGCATATGCAATCAACATAAGAAAGCTAGTCAAGCCACCACTACCAGCAGGATACTGGGGAATTCTGACCAAGGCTGAAGACCATGTCGATCAACCGATATATAAAACAGCAGAATTGATCAACAAGAGCAAATAAATGTATCTGATGAATATGTTCGATCATTTATCGATTTTCAGGAGCTAAATTATCATGAAGGGACCACAGTAGGAGCAAAGGTGAGTGGAATTACTGATTGGAGACACTTAGGCCATTCCACAGTGGACTTTGGTTGGGGAGGTCCTGTTACAGTTTTTCCTCTGTCAAGAAACCTACTTGGAAGCGTTGAGCCCCGTTTCTTTTTGCCCTATTCTTCAGCAAATGAAGGGGAAAAGGATGGTTGTAAACTTTCTGTGTGTTTGCAAGAACATGCTGTTTCAGGTTTCAAAGAAGACATGAATAAGTTGAAGAATTTAGAGCCTAGATTCCTTTGAATGAAGGGTTTCTTGTTATCTTTGTCTATGTTCCCGTCAAATTGAAGAGGTTTCAACTTGGTGAAATTGGCAAACCTTATAAGGGTCTTTGGACAAATGACCTTTTGCCTCAACATTTTCATTTGGTCCCGCAAATAAATGGGGAGTTGAAGGCGAACAATTTTTAGTGTATGTCTAGTTATAAAATCAAAGTCAACAGGCTAAATACTCTCTCTGCAATTAGACATTAGATCAACATAATGCAAATTTTACAAGTAAAAGCTACTCGCATGTATGGCTACGGGACTGAAATCCTGATATCATACCAATTAAGAAATGTGTTGATGACACATGATTTGGGTCAGTAAAGTATTGAGAGAAGCAATCAAACAATCAGAAAGACAGTCAGAATTGCAAGTTCAAGTTCCCAATAGGCAAAAGCCACAGAAATTAGTAATCAGATTCCAAGAATCATAAAACCCCCAAAACTCAGCAGCCAAATTAATTCATTAGCATCAATCAAATCAAATGTAACCCTAATCAGGTAAGAACAAACTAAAACAAAAGCAACCCACAAAAATTCATTCAAATCCAACTTCAAGAATCTACACCAGTAACTCTAGACAATTTTTCAAAGGAAAAGGGAGGGAAAAAAACTAATAAGAGACTATCATACCTCTGGAAATACTTAAGGAGTTTTCACCCTTGTTGGAGATGCTGTTGCAGGAACGGGGATGAGATGTCGCTGGATTGGTTTGCCGAAGAAGGGATTGGTTTGCCTATGAGATGTCGCTGGAGATCGTCTTTTATCGCTGCCGCAGAAGGGATCGTCTTTTATCGATGGTTTTTCGTTGAAGGCTGTGAAAGAAGTCTGATTTTACTAAAGGAATCGGTGTAACTTATTTTTCATCAGAAATCATTTTCCCAAATTAAATTGCGTCTAAACAGTGGAATGTTTGGAAAAAATGTTTTCCGTCCAATTAAACGGACCTTACTCCTGTATATTCGAGCCGGAATTGATTAAAAGCTATTATCACTTTACTTTACCGTACCATTAAATCAATTTAACGAGTTAAAGACCTTTAATCATGTATATTTTCCCGCAACTGGAGCTAGGATTGATTAAAGGCTATTATCATTTTATTTCTCTTTAATGTTTGGTACCACTATCAATTTCTCTCTTAACATTATTATCTTTTAGTCGTTTTACTCCAAAATTAACGATCAAACTTAACGAAATTTGTTAATTGAAGTGAAAGACATATTTAGCTCTTAAAATTACTATCTCTTTACTCTCATAAACTATAGCCTCGTTATCAATTTACCCCCTGGAGTTATGTATTAGGCAATTTACCTCGCCATTAAACCAACTTAGCGAGTTAAAGAACTTTAGAAAAACGATAAAAAAATTTAGAGTGACTCTTCTCCTTTTATTACCAAGAAAAAAGTCAAAGTGTTAATCTCTTTTTTCTTGACAATCTTATTAATATTAAAAAAATAGAAAGATGGGGAGAGGGAGGGTGAGGGGAGAGAGAGAGATAGAGAGCGAGAGAGAGAGAGAGAGAGAGAGAGAGAGAGAAGAACTCAATTCTTTTTTTAAAAAAATAAAAATAAGAAAGAATTAAATACTTTTATTATTTTAAAATTATTTCACTTTTCTATTTACCATCAAATTCCAATCATAATCCCAACAATCTTAAAATAATACGATAATGTTAGACTCTATTTTGTTTTCTTTCCTTCCAAAATCTAATTTTCTGTCTCCTTCTTTCCTATCTCCTTTTCTTTTTCTAGTATTAATAAGTGTGAAAATAATTTTTGAGAAAAAGATCTCTTAAAGTGAAAAATAAGGAAGAATAATCATTCCAACTTTTTATTTTTAATTACATATAAAAAAGAAAAATATATTTAAAATTTTTTTACCAAACTAGTTAAATTATCGATGAGATAAAATATTTAGAAAATAATGTTAGGAATTAAAGCGATTGTATCACTATAATTTCAAGAGAAAAAGTGATAATAACAATGTGATAATGCTATAGAATAAAGGGGTATTTCTGTCCAAAAATTCTTAACATGTTGAGATGAATTATTTATGGGGATGAAGTGGCTAAAAGATAACGTTAAGAAGTAAATTGACAGTAGTTATATAGTTTAAGGGGGTAAAGTGATAATAACCCATGATTAAATAGTCTAATGGCTATTTACTTAAGCCCAACCGTTAAATCCATCCCACCCAAGCTCACCCAACCCAACATCACTGTCATTTGTCACATGTTTTCACTTTTATTTCATCCATAGAATTAGGGTAAATTTCCCAAACCTCCCCTAAAGCTTTACACAATTACAGGTAGCTCTCCTCAAATTTAAAAAATTATATTTATCTCCCTTACTTTTACTTTTTAGGTAACAAAACCTCAAATGAGATAAGCAAAAAAAATGGTGTGAATATCCTAAACCATCCTCCTGGATTATTTTTTAAGTTCAAAATTACCTCTACCATCTCCATTCCTTTATCACTACCGGTCACTCCACACTACCATCTCTCTAGCTCCTCTTCCACTAGGAAAAAAAAAAAAAAGACTGCAATATATGTTGAACATTAAGCCCATGTTCCATCCACTAAGCCTCCTATAAGTTCTCTCTCTCCCTCCAATAGTCAATCTATCAAGACATCAGGCTACCTATTTGATTCAATGTTGCCAAATTGTAAGGAAACTTACTTGCGTTGTTTCTTTCTGGAACTCATTCATGTTTTTATACTTTTTAACGAAATATAACAATCTAACTTAAGACTCCTAATGGTTTCTTTCAAACTTGAAGTTGAATTAGCTAAGTAGTTTCTTTAGTTAATGATGACAATAACCAACTTGTACAAGTGAAAGCTTTGGAAGTTACTCTCAATTTTTTGAACAACTGACAGATGAGATGCGTCTGAACGCATTTGTTAGATGCAGAAGATTTGGATCGAACATCTGATCGAGTGTTGGACACAAAGAATTCATATTAGGCGTCCGATAGTTCCAACGACTAGTTTATCAACAACTAATTTTTTGATTGTTGGAAAGGCTTTTAGGGCAAAATTTCACCACCTACAAATACCCTCAAATATGAGAAGAAGAGGGAATTTTGCCTACACAAAATACAAGCTTTTAAGTGTGATATTTATATAGAAACATACTTTGATTATTGTATAGGTATGGAAAAATTTGAGTTTATAAGTTTTTTCAAAGAGGAGAAGTAAAACCCTTATGAAGGTGACCCTCACTTATAAAGTAGTTCTCAATTAATTGGATGAATTTTCAATTTGTAGTTAGTTGGTGGTTAGTTATGAGAGTTGTAAAACTCTTTGGATTAACTAATGATTTTTAGGGTAATGGAATGAGCTTTCACTTGTACAAGTTGGTTATTGTCATCATTAACTGAAGAAACTACTTAGCTAATTCAACTTCAAGTTTGAAAGAAGTTTTGGAGTTTGATTGCTTTGCAATCCTTTTACTTTATTGCTCTCTTTTGTTATTTGTTTGTGTGGTTTAATTTGCTTATATCTCTTGTTATTATGTGTGCTTGAGTGCTTATTTACTTAAGTTATTTTTGTTGAATAATTGAGTAAAAATTTGGCCTTTACTTGCTTTAATGTTTTCAACCTAATTCACCCCCCTTAGATTGCTTTGGACCTAATATAAGCTATTCAGAATTACCAAATTTGGTTTTCATACAAACTTTTACAAGAATTCTATTGGCCAAATATGTTCATCGTCATTTTTATGATTAACTAGCCACATATTTATAATGAAGATATAAATTCTTGTTCTAAAATTTTATAAATCAACAAAAAGGAAAAAAAAACGAAGAAGATCCTAGGTGGGAGGACTAATTAACCTTCTAGTTCCTAAAAGTCAAAATTTTGATAGCAATAGAAGTTTTAGATTGGAAAAGTGTGATGAATGTTAAAGTATTAGCTCAATGTAGTCTTAGTGTTAGTTCAAAATTTAACCTCTAACATGATACATAAGGTTTAGGGTCTTGTCCTTTGTTGGCATTTTAGACAGTAATTCTAAATAACTAGGTTCACTACATTGTATTTTAGAATTGAGTATTAAAATGCCAATAAAACATAGAACTGTAATTCCAAGAAACTATCTACCTTTCTTTGTAGTTCCTTTGATCCATATCAAGTGAAAGCTTGGTGATTAATTAGATAGTTCAACAGAGCTTTTTCAGTCTCATTCTGCAATAAATGATTCAAAATTGCTCTCATGACTTTATTTGTTAGTTATGTGAGAAGTAACTTATGAAGAGATATTCTTTGTGTATGGCTATGTATGAATGTAAGTTGTTCAAGAATCTTGTCTATCCTCCTCAATTTGGGGTTGATCCAATTGTTAGAGATGCAAGGGAATAAATGTCTAGTTAGAGGGGAATATTTAGACCTCTATGCGCTACTGAAATATTCCCAAATATACTGTCAATAAGTTACTGTTCAGTTGGGAGATTAGATGCCGAATTATGGATTTCTTTCTAAATCTTGTGTACTTTGTAAGGGTTCTCTCCTTCACTTCTATTTGATGATTTTGAGATATAAAGCAAAAAAAAAAAGAAAAAAAGAAAAAATTGCATTTGTAAATCAACTAATTACAAATTACCATATAAATCATTTATGAGTTTTGATCTTAACCATCTAATCATCTAAGGGTAGCAAAATTTTTAGTTAAATATTGGGGAATTAACTAAAAATAGCACAAGAAGTATTTTTCCCAAATAAATGAGGAAACTCATGGGGTGAGGACTTATGTTTTTCCAAATAAATAAGGAATTTTTAAAATTTTTTCCCATGAAATTCTTGAATAATTCAAGTCTCTTACAACTTTTGATTCTGGATATACTTGTCTTTAAATCCAAAATCTCCAACTTATAGTTCCGTCCCTCTTATCATTCAACCTAACCCTCATCTGATTATAAATATATACTAATACATATATCACATTTTAGATTTGTGTAACTTCGATGCTGTTAAGAAAAAAAGATTAAGAATTATATCAACCATTCAAAAGTAAATTGGGACAACATATTCTTTTACAATTTTGAGAGAAACGTCAAATACTAGATTCAAAAATTGAATATGATGGTATTTGAGAAGATATATGTAAGTAAAATCAATGCTTCCACAGCAATAATTTAAAAGATTCATAATTTGACTATTATGGATAGATTTTCACTTGGAAGGTAAAAAAAAATA